GGAAAGAAAGACAAAATTGAAGAGATAATTTTTATGTTGCCTTTTATTACTTTTACTATAACTTTATAAGCATTGCTGTAGTGCTTATAAAACATTACACTGCTTTCTTGGCCAATCCCCCAGAGTGGTTATGTGCCATACTATAGAGGAATCAAATCGTATCAAGGCTGCCCAACTCCGCACTTCATTCAGGCTTTGCACTCATTGTGCGATATGCTGTCTGAATTTTTATTATCATTATTTATGCACGTGCCTTCATGTCCAAGCTCTACAGCAGGAATTTGTAGTCGTCGCGTGCAACATTCGTTTCATATCTCATCGAAGTATTCCTGCGCACCGGCAGCCTTTCAGTTCGGTATGCGATCTCTGTAAAAAAAAATGGCCGCGTATCTCAGTGCTTTGCTGCAAAGGACGTCAAAAGATGATAGTCTTCTGTTTGGAGCCGCTCCATGAGATATGGCGCCATCTGGCAGTAATGTGATGAAACGAAAGTTTCTTTAGAACGCAGAGCCACTGGTAGGTGGCAGCACCAGGCTGTTTTTAGTTGAAGGCCCTGATTTTTTTAGCGACGCGTATAGGAAACAGACGCTTTTTCGTTCATAGCGTCGCATTGTTAACGCAGCGTAATAAACACTTCGGTGCTTATTACGCTGCGGTTTGTGGTAGTCGCATTTCGATGGGGGAGGATATGAAAATTTAAAAAAAACACAAAGAAACGCCCGGGCACGCGTTATAAAGAACTTTAGATGGTCAAAATAGATCTGGTTTTCTGGCACTACGACGTGGTTCGTATTCGTGTCACAGTGGCGCGAATCCAGAAAGAAATCAAAGGGAGATTCAAATTTTGCCATGGTGACCATTTTGTTTTTATAGGTACAGTTTTTATTTCAAATGAGCTCTTAGTTTTTTCTTGTCGACAGAAAACTACCGTGATTCTGCACCGGTCAGCGCTCTCTTCGTTCTCCTCTGCCTTACACCTGCTTCGCTCCCCGAACACGTGCACAGGTTTGTCCGGCGTAGGATGCAATAACCATGATGAGCGAGAGAACGCGTACAGAGAGAGAGTAAGAAAATTTTCGGCAAAGTGGGATGCAAACTCTTAAACGGCCCCTAAACCACCTCCGCAAACGCTTAGAACGAGCGTCTTTCCGCCTTTGCGTCACAATTCGTAACGCCAGCCGTTCGGTCGCGCGACGTCAGGCCGAAGTGCACTCTCGATTGGTCAATATATCTGCTGTGAATTGTCTCCTAGGCTACTTTGCCCTGCAGTCGCACGCCCGGTCTGCCGCGTCTCGCATGACTGTAGATTGTGCGCAATGAACTCATTTCACTTTGTTTTCAGCGTGTAATGCGACTGTGCCGGGGGGGGGGGGGGGGGGGGGGGGTAGCAGTGCGTAGTCGAAAAGGGCCGAGTCTCGGCTTACTTCTGACACTTCACGTGTTTTTGAAGAAGTGGTGAGGATGAGACAGCGCTTATAGAAAGGGTAGTGAAGGTGACAAAGAGACTACTGTCTCGCTTTTCAACTCAGCGTGGTTTAGAGGCCCTTTAATGCGAAGGCGAGTGTCGTGACCACTCCACTGTCCAGGAATGCAGTCAGAGCACAGCATGCCCTTGCATGTAATACTACAGCAAGGGGGAGGGAAAGGAAAGTGAAGGGGAGAGTAAAGTATGGCCTAGAAAGAACCTGACACTTCTCTGGATGAAGAAAGCAGAAATAAATGAGACAAAAAAAAAAGCCAATGAGAAAAATAATAAGGAGACAAGAAAGGCCACCCATCGCCGCACTTCTATCAATTGATTGATTGATTTGTGGGGTTTAACGTCCCAAAACCACCATTTGATTATGAGAGACGCCGTAGTGGAGGGCTCCGGAAATTTTGACCACCTGGGGTTCTTTAACGTGCACCCAAATCTGGCACTTCTATCAAGATTGGTACCTTTAGTGCAAAGGTGCCTTAACATTTATAGTAAGGAAAAATTAAAATTGTGCACTGAACTAAAATTGAAAACAAGCATGGCTCCCCAGTTTGCGTAACGGCATGGTGCTATTGAGTCTTCTATAGAAAACCGTTGCAACAACAGTTCAAATTTCAATTCAGTCTTGTAAAGCTGTAGTGCAAGCAGTTTTACATGTACACAGCATTAACAAGGGTTACAACGAAGTTGAATGGGCTCTATTTAACTGTCAAGTAATTTGTAAAATACAAGAGGACAAGACTGCCCCGCCGCGGTGGTCTAGTGGCTAAGGTACTCGGCTGCTGACCCGCAGGTCGCGGGATCGAATGCCGGCCGCGGCGGCTGCATTTCCGATGGAGGCGGAAATGTTGTAGGCTCGTGTGCTGCAGATTTGGGTGCACGTCAAAGAACCCCAGGCGGTCCAAGCTTCCGGAGCCCTCCACTACGGCGTCTCTCATAATCATATGGTGGTTTTGGGACGTTAAACGCCACATATCAGTCAATCAATCAATCGAGCAGGACAAGAGTACTGAAACTTGGGCGTGTCGGTACTAATTCGTGGCTGTTTTTTTTTTTTTTGCGCAACATAAATACGTACAGACGAGACGACCCAGTTGTTGTGCCCGTGGTGTTTGTTGCTTCACGTCCGTGTCTATGTCGCTCAAGAAAAAAGATATATAATCATCAATCGAGGACACTTGCACGATGTGCGCGTCCCTCCCTCGATCCCTCGGTTGTTTACGCAGTCGTCATTTTTGGACACGTCAAACTGCGCAATTTTCAAAACTTCCGCATAGTTTGCCGGCCGTGGACCGTAAAATGCGACAGTTCTCACGGAAAGCAACAGGTTGAAGATAACGCTAAAACCTTCGCGGGAAACTCGGCTGGAGAAACGAATTTATATCGCGACGCCGCGTGGTTTTTAACTCGGTGAACTTGGGGGGTCTCACCCCCGTATTCACAAACGCTCCTCGACTCGAATTTCATCCTTCACTTGACCGAGTTGAGCACTGCGCCACTGCTCGATAGAAATTGACGCTGCGCTTCTGAAGAAACCCTACAGATTATAGCCAATATGCAGTGGCTTCATCTGCCAAGAGATGACGCTCCCATCGACTTTTTCAAGTCAAGGTTGAAGCGTCGAGTGAAGGGACGTTCTATAATACGGCGGTCAGACTTTGTGCTATCAAGTGCGTGTAGTACAAACTGAAGAGGCGACCATGATGCGCGCGTAAACCTTGTCGATACAACGCGAACGTAGTGCGCAGCTATTCGAAGTGCGAGACCCTTGGTAACAAGGGTGTACGACCCAATATAAAGGTGCGACTCGCACTCGAATATGCTTACCTAGTGGCTATTGCGAAAGCTTGCAACGTGATGACTGTTCCTGTGCTCTCGTATATATAGTATTGATAACGCTTTTTTGCTTTACAAGCCGCGGATTCGCTACGAAAGCCGAGTCGACCGATAAACGCTTTTTTCTTATTCTTTTTCTGCTAAAGCTGCAAAGCCAGTGACCTACGAGTGAGGTAAAATAGGTCAGTAGCCAACTTGATAATGATATCGGGGGGGGGGGGGGGGGGGTTTACTTCCCAAAACCACGATATGATTATGAGGGACGCTGTAGTGGAGGGCACCGGAAATTTTGACCATACGGTGTTCTCCATAGCGTGCACCGACGTACGTCGCACTTGTACGCGGGTCTCTAGCAATTTACCTTTACCGAAATGCGACCACCGCGGCTGGGCTCGAACCCGCGACCTACAGGTCCGCAGCAGAGCATATACGATAGCCTTTGATACACCGCAGCAAACTTACGGGATGATCTTAAGTTCAGCGGTAAAAGAAAAAAAAAAGATCCCGAAGAATCCGTGCTTCATACGTTCATTATGTCTGAAAAAAATTCGCTTTGAAGACGTTGTCCATGAAGTTGAAAGCATTGCCAAAGTCCCGCGTAATCGCGGTGGTATTGAAGCTTATTTGTGCTGTGCCGTATTTCATTAACGACTAAACTTTTTTTTTTTTTGGGGGAGCGGTAGAGCGTAGCCTTAATTTCAAGAAATTGATCGATTGATATGTGGTGTTTAACGTCCCAAAGCCACTATATGATTATGAGTGACGCCGTAGTGGAGGGCTCCGGAAATTTCGACCACCTGGGGTTCTTTAAACGTGCACCCAAATCTGAGAACACGGGCCTACTACATTTCCGCCTCCATCGGAATTGCAGCAGCCGCAGACGGGATTCGAACCCGCGACCTGCGGGTCATCAGCCGAGTACCTTAGCTACTAGACCACCGCGGCGGGGCTTAATTTCAAGAAAGTAGGGGTCCGTTAAATATGGCAATAGCTGCCTGGCAAACTGTCTGGAAGAGAGGTACATTCGTATTGTCATTCATTAGGTGCCGTGTACACGTGTGGTCTCAGGAAACAAGCCCGACTCGTACAAACAGGCACATAAACAGCGTCCAGTGATTCCAGCTGCGTCTAGCCGCGCAGCTTTATAGCTCACTCGGTCACGTGCTGCACGCGCAGTTCAGCAGAAGGGTCGCAATATAAAGACGACTGCACCGCGCTTTCCCTATCGCATATATGAACTGCTACCGCGCGCGGGTCCGAGATACCGTATAGCGTGCATCCACGTGTGTGTGTACACCAGCGCGTCGTACGCGAGTATTTACGGCACTCACGTTTTCCCCCACCCAGGTAACGTGCCGTAAATGCGCGCAATATAATCCACTTCCGCTCCGGAAGCCTCGCCGCGATTGTGGCGGTTCACAAATAACGGACGGGGCAGGCGAGCGTGCTCACGTGTGGCTGAAGCACGTCCTTCGATGCGATGATATTGTGCCTCTGTAGCCGTCTAAGCCATACAGCGGTCAACAGCTCAACTATAAACCAGGCGTATCTCTGCAAGACAACGCGCACTGATTATTGGGCCGCAATAAAGTTCGTTCGCACACTGTGATAGCGGGACGGTCCGACGGGAGAGAGGGGCAAACGCCCTTCCTGTTTTTTTTTTTTTCATCTCTGCCTTGCACTTGATCCCACCGGACTGTCCGAGTGGCGAAAGGATAACTATGCGCGGGACCGTCTTGCAGATCGCCACGCACTCGAACGCGCTCCTGCCGAAGATTTCAGCGATCGTCGACGCGCTCGCGATGGACGACGTCCTTCAGAAAGGTACGTATACGGTGGACGTTTGTGTATACTGTTAATAAGCAAAGGAATACAAATAAGTTTGCATCAGGATGAAGAAGTTGCGGCCACTGAATTAAGCTAAAGAGGGGGGGGGGGGACACGACAGACGTTTCGGCACCCGCGAGTCTTCCTTGATCGTCATCAAACTGATTGCAGAGTAAAGGCCTCTCCCGTGTTCCACCAATCATCCCGGTCCTGTGATTTCTGTAGTCGAGTTATTGATGATTGATTTGTGGGGTTTAACGTCCCAAAACCACCATTTGATTATGAGAGACGCCGTAGTGGAGGGCTCCGGAAATTTTGACCACCTCGGGTTCTTTAACGTGCACCCAAATCTGAGTACACGGGCCTACAACATTTCCGCCTCCACCGGAAATGCAGCCGCCGCAGCCGGGAATCGAACCCGCGACCTGCGGGTCAGCAGCCGAGTACCTTAGCCACTAGACCACCGCGGCGGGGCGTAGTTGAGTTATACTCGCAAAGTTTTTATAGGCCCACCCTATACTTTGTCTCCCCCTCGCGTTCATGCCTTCCCTAAGAGTCCAGTACGTAACTCTCAATGACCAGCAGATATCTACAGCCTTTGCGCTGCGTGTTCTGCGCATGGCTAGTTCTTCTTCTTGTTTTCGACTAAGATGTTTTTCACAATACTACGAAACCACTGTGCAAGTTTCGTATGAGTTCGCTAAACAGTAATCACTCCACAGTGTGATCAAGGAACACGTACGGATTCCGAAACGTCTCGTGTTTTTTTCACGTTTACTTGATCAGTGGCCGCAGCTTCATCATCAGGTTACCTGACCAGGTGAACTTCCGTGGATTTCTTTGCGAACCATTTGCGTTAGGCTGGCTGTTTTGTTGGAGGGTTGCGTGTATGGTAATGGCAGAGGCCCGTGTACTGTACTGTGAGTGCACGTTAAGGAACTCCAGGTGGTCAAAGTCTTCCACTACGGCGTCTCTCATAATCATATCGTCATTTTAGGACGCAAAACTCCAAATATTATTACTAGGGTGTTGTCGAGGTTTCCTCGTGCTGAACGGCAGCTACAGCCGCGTGTGGATATGAAGTTATTTAAGAATAATATGTGTTATTTATCCCATCTGCGACCACTTCTTATACCCCCCCCCCCCTTTTTTTGTTTCTTAAATGTACACTGATCGGAAAGACTACATCAGTTTTCGTATATTATGCTTTAGGGTCTTTCTTGTTAATTTTCGTAATCACAGATGCATCTTCAAAGGGTGTACCGCTGTTTCTGTCTAATCTGGCCCCATAACCTCAAAACCCGTTTTCGTGACGCCACGGATTTCGGTTATACTTTCTTATTTCGTTATTTTCGACACATTTAATCTGGCATATTTTTATGGAATTTGTGACTTTCTAGTCTCTCGATTCCTTAAGCATTCTTTTTAACCGATGAACAAGTATTAGGTCCTATTGGATGCCGCAAAAATTTATGACGTCATGGCAAGATTATGCGGAAATTTTGATGCCACGTGTATTTTTCTTTCTGTGTTTTCTGGTCTACCAAACCTGTTCTCGCTGCAAAAGTGGGGTTGCTAATATTACGAAAGGGTCATTTACGTCTACAAAAAAAAAAATCGATCATGCTTTTCAATGTATCGGGTCTCGAAATCGCCACACTCTCGGAGCACGTGGACACAGTCACGCCATCGGGCAAACGGCCACACGTGCATATCTATTAACTGTTTTTGCACACGGTGAGCTCACCAGCCGAGTCTAATACATAAATAGCAATAGGGTAAATAACTAGGTACACAATCCAGATACAAAAACGAACATAATGCACACAAAACAACGTAACACATTCAATGTACCATGGATGTGGCATCGCCGACGTTCGACTCAACGCAAGGGTCCCGCGGGAAACGAGCTGTGGAATCGTCCCCACTGGTCTCCCCCCGTGGGGACGATTGGCATCGTGCGTGGACGTCCATCCACGCACGCTGCCTTACCCCAAAGAGTCGGATAACCCCTTCACAAGCGTACAGATAACCTCGCTTACCTCCAAGATACGCTGACGGCGCCATCGCGTTAACGCAGCGTCATCACTCGCGCGGTGGCATCTAACTATATATGCTTCCACTATAGTGGAAGCATATATAGTTACATATATGCTTCCATATATATATATATATATATATATATATATATATATATATATATATATATATATATATATATATATATATAATAAGGGAACGAAGTGTATACCTAAGGGCTCGTTTTTCCGTGTTTTAACACAATATTAATGATATCTAACAGACAGTAATGCCAAGGAATGTACAGGGGAAGTTATTAGAACCAATGGAATGTAAATAAGAAGAAAGAAGAAAGAAAAGTGGATGAAAAAATAACCAGCCGTGAGCAGGAATCAAACCTACGACCTTCGAATAACGCGTTCGAGCATAGAACGCGTTATTCGAAGGTCGTAGGTTCGATTCCTGCTCACGGCTGGTTATTTTTTCATCTACTTTTCTTCTTTCTTCTTATTTACATTCCATTGGTTCTAATAACTTCCCCTGTACATTCCTTGGCATTACTCTCTGTTAAATATCTTATTTATATATATATATATATATATATATATATATATATACACATTTTCGTTTAGTGTGTATATAGTACAATGTCTTTAGCCATGTCTTTCTTTTTTTAGCCAATCGGATGTCTTTATGGTTAACCTCCCTGCCTTCTCCCTTTTGTTGCTTCCTCCTCCTTCTTATTTCAGTAAAATAGAAAATCCTAATGCCGTCCTTGTGGCTTATTGTCTGTTGGCTTAAACTGTCGAGATCGCTGGAAACGTTTGGTTGAGCGGACAGGCCTTCATGAAGAATGACCTTACAGAACACTTGTAATACTAGTTTGAAAGGTGTTGTAGATATAGTTAAAAAATTAAAAAAGATGGATACATGGAACAAAACGAAGAGTACACCATAGTATGCAACAAATCGTTTTCACGAACCAAGAAAGTGCTGATATAGACAAAAAGAAAAAGAACGCCATTTCCTGATTATGTGATCACATCCACACAAGAGAATTCCCGTCAAAGTAACGTATATAATCATATGCGTACATATTTTCAAGGAGTACGCTGTTTGAAATAAAGTGGAAGTGATTATATCACTTTAGCTGGCGCATTATATTTACAGCTCCATAATTGTTCACTCAGTGGTTGTTTATCGTCTAACTATACATTACATATTTCTATTTACTTGCCTAACGACGTTTCTAAACGATGTTAAAGTATGCTTCACGAAGGAACTGATTGCAAGAAAGCTGCAAACATAAAAGTTGAGCGCAAAAAAAAAAAAAACGACTAGGCACAGGAAACAAGTAGACAGGATAGGACGGTCACTAGTCAGCGTTCTAATCTGTTTACTTGTTTCCTGTGCCTTGTAAGTTTCTTTTTTTGTGCTCGACTTTTATGTTTAGACATGCAGTAACTCGCCCATCAACGCATTTTATGAACCCGCAAGCATCGTTTGAGAATTGCGCGAACGATCTGTGCAACTTATTTGTAACAAGTGTATTTTCTTGAATACACTTAAACCTTATTATAACAAAGTTTGCGTCTTACAAGAGAATAAGTTCGTTACACACGAAAATGTGTTATAAAGGTTAATCCAAACACTATATTGCAAGACTTTTTAGTTACTTCGTTATAATGTATATTTCGTTATATTCGATTCGTTGCGTTGACGTTTGAGTGCACTTGAGTGAGGTTGTAAACTGCTTAATCGAAACTTCTAAGTTTGTGATAATGTGACCTCTGGCAATGCATGTCATCACGGCTGCCGAAACGGTCGTGTCATGATTATATAGTTTAGACGGTTTGCACTGCGTTCCAAGAGTCAGCTATGCCTGGAATTCCCGCTTAAAGTTTTCTCTCGATTAGTTCCCAAGTTGCTCGTCTTCATAAGGAATTGTGTAATGCTTGAATGTGCTGCCAACGCTGCGTTCATTTTATCAGCGCGAAATGTGATTGCGAGTAAAGCTCTGTGGTGCTTCGGTCTCGACGTGACAGGTGACTCTCAACTCGGCCAGTGGTGCCTTACCGACTCCAACTGCTTGACGGAGAACTCGGGATGTCTGGCCGATATATGCGCCTGCAAGATCGGATTTGTTCTATACGGGGACAGATGCATTCCAGGTGGGAGAGAGTGAAATTTACTAGTCAGTGCAAGCAAAAGTTCGCTTCACGCACGCGCATACACATAGAGCAAAAAGGACGTCACCATTTGCTAACTAGTTGGAGCTGAGCGAGTTGAATCGGGCTTTAAATGCTAACTGCGCATGTGAAACAGAAACCACGATAAAAATTGTTTCGTATAAAAAGGTTCATTCAGAAAAAGATGGGCGTTCTTCTTTCTGGCACATAGTGTCGTCTGCATACTTGCCTGTAGTCACCTATATTAGCTTCAATACTCGAGTATGGGTGCCCCAAAGCATGATGTATATATAGCCGTCCTGGAGAAGGTTAGGAGCAGCTGCGTTTTTTTAAACATGTACTTAGACCCTAACACACCCACTTAGACCTTCAAATGAAGAAGTTTAGAGGGGATAGTTAGAAAAAAACACAGCATATCCGTGCACGGAGTTAATGATGATGAGTGGGGCGAAGCGTATGTCTGTCTGTCTGTCTGTCTGTCTGTCTGTCTGTCTGTCTGTCTGTCTGTCTGTCTGTCTGTCTGTCTCTATGGGACAGCGCCATCTATTGTAAGCTAAGGAAGACGCTACAGGGTACGCCGGAGTTACGAGCAATTGCCCGAGACCATACGGAGCTTCACCCCTAAATACATAGGTGATTCCTCCATCATAGGAACCGGTATGACGCGAAAGTGAAACGGGTCTTCCTAGAAGTATACTTCTAGGAAGACCCATTTGAGTGCTTATTGTGTAGTCACATATGAGAGCATGTACAATTTCTATTGCGTTTCGCAGCTATAGCGCTGTTGTAGACGTGGACACAGCCACGTTGACGCCTGGTACGTATCCATGGGTGACGATTGCCACCCATGGATGATCATGATTCAACCGTTCTGGTAACTGAAGTTTATAACATATACGTGAACACAGCGTATCGTTAATAGCACACAAAGATGACATCAACAAGCACACTCTAAACACGGCTACTAGCACTTGCGCCTCTTCAAAGGTCGTAAGTTATGGCACGGCCGCTGGATAAAAAAAAAACAATTTTGTTATCCAGCGGCCGTGGTTATGGAGAGAAACAGCACGGTGTGCGCCTCTGAAACGTACTCTAGCTCTTCAGCAACGCGAGGCACACAGGTTTGTAGCTTGAGACGTGAACGTGCGCCGGCGTTCCTCGTCGCGCTGGCGTTCCACGTCCTGCTGGTTTCCCTCCACCAATAATCCGGTGCTAACACACTCGGAAGTAGTCGGCGGTGAAACATCCTAGGTGCATATACCCGTGAAATCTGCACGACTTCAACAACGAGCTGTTACGTACGCACCAACACGAAGCGAAATGCAAAGAACGTACAGTGCGTCGGCGACTCTCCGATGCTCGCTTGGTCAGGGCTTTCCCTGCTATCGAGAAGCTTTAACCAAGGCCTTTAACCATGGCTTTAACCATGACGTCATGCTTTAAATACGTCATGCCGTATTACTTTTCCAGAGTACTCGCAGACGGTGGCACCATCCCGCTTCGCCAACAGAGAGCATAAAGAGAGAGAGAGAGAGAGAGAGAATGCGTGAAAGATACAAAGCGCGTTCGTACGACTTCCGGCAATTGCTTCTATAGCTCAGTGCGTAGAGCACCAGGCGGGCATTTCTCGTCAATTCCCAAATAGTCGGAGGTCCGAGGTCCGGCGGTGGAACTTCTTTTTAAACGTTTTTTTTACATTAATAGCGTTAATTTTACAACGCAATATACGTGACGGAAATACGTCACTGAAGCCTTGGTGAACCCTGGCATAAAACATTTTCGTGTTATAACAAAAACACTAAAAGTGACAGTGGAGCAAACGAGACACTCTTACAAGCCACCCGGTAACCAGGAAGCAGGAAGGGGGGGGGGGGATTTCAGGTGGAGTGGGGTGTTTTACCAGGGGAAAATAATACAAATAGGTTTTTTTTTTCTCAAGTCCTTCAACAAGTGCCCCCCTCCCCCTTCCACGAAAGAAATTCCTGGCTACGGCGCTGCTTACAAGCGTATATAAGTGACAAAATCTATCATGTGAATCTACTCGTCATTGCCCTAAACGTTGTCTTGAACTCATATACAGCTTGAAAGTAGCGAGATGTGCTTACAGTAGCTATGGCGCAGGCGCGCTCATAATCCTCCTCTATGAAACGGGCTTGTAATCATTCAGGAACTCAATAAAGTGTTCTATCGATCCATACATTCATCCATCGTGGGGAGTGAAGATTCCGACCCACCTTTACGATGTATGTTCATGCATATGTGTGCTAGCATATGCGCACAAAATATGTAAACATATCGCGGGTTTGGGAAAGGGGCTTGAATCCCCCAAACTTCTCCGCTGGCTTTGTCACTGGTGCATGTGCTCTGGCCTCGGCAAAATTGGTCTGCCAGAAACATTTCCTTGCGCCAGTCGATTGTCACCTTTCTGAAAATACAGGATGTAGTGTAAATGACGTATTTTATCCTTCTGAATACTATTTTCTTACGTATTTGTTGTGCGTCTGAACGCGGGAATTTGTTTTTTCTGTTCCAGCGTATACCTTTTCCTAGACATGTTTTGTATGTTTCGTGGCCGTACATAGAAGCCCGTAAAAAATGTATAGTTGTTAACATTCATAGCTATAGTTGAGAAGAAAGGTAAAAAAAACTGAGAAAGGGTAAAGCAACAAATAAGAAAAACTAAGATCAGAGGATGCGACAAACAACCGGAGACGCTGACTTCATTTTTTTTTTAATCAGTTGTAAAGGGTGCGCCTGGTGCGCCGCCAAGAAAAGAAATAGAAAGAAACCTTAAGCCCTCGTAATCTTCAATTTCTTTTTACGCATTCAAAATTTCTGCTTGTAAGGTCACGTGAGAAAAAAATGTTGTTTTTTGTATCAATGAACGACGGCCCGGTTCGTGTAATTGCTCGTAGCCTAAATGGGCACCTGCAACTTTGCAGAGCCTCGCCTCAGGGGCTTCCCAAAGATGTACCTGATGAGCATCGGCTGCCTGCTGTCCATACTCATCTTTTCCATGTCCCTGTGCTTCCTCTACTGGAAACGGTGGGTTTACCTGTATGCGAAGAGCATCGTACGCTTCCACTTGAGTCGTATTTAGGTTAGGTCAAGTTCGGTTATAGGTTAACCAAGAACAGTGCAGCCACAATTATGCGAAATCGTTCGCGTAAAAATTCATAGCGAAATATGCGCGGCCCTTACCGATGCGTCGATCAACCCTCCATGCGCAAGCACTGTTTATTCATACGCAGTCACTTCTTCAAGCACCCATTTGTCGTTCGTTCGCTTGCTCACACTAACTGCGTGTCACCAATTATCCCCAAGCCGCGCACACGGCCTTTGGATTAAAAAAAATATAAAAAAACTGAAAGCGGTTGGCCGTTTCCGTATTGGTGGGCCTGGACAAAACAAAATGTCATGGTTCAACGCGGTTAAACCAAGCTGGTCGATACGGGCGGTAGCAGCACCTAAAGGCCTGAAAGGGCCCCTATCCCCCTTCGATATTTTCCCAAACATTTCAAGTAAGCAAGAGCATCACGAGCAGAATGTCGTCGCGATCAACGATGCCACACGCCGCAGCGCTACAGGTAGCGGGCGTGCCACAATTTCGAAAAAAACAAAAACAATAGCTTCTCTTTTCCAGTCCCCGCCATTCCCGACACTCAGCAAACAGCTGTTCGCGGCCACCTTGCTGTTCTTGGTCGTTTTGCGGCTTGCGAATGGACACGTGCGGCCCGTTAACGCAACCGCCAAGTCGCTAGCGTTGGGGCACGGGCCGCACGACAGCAACAGCGGTTAGTCAACGATCAGTGCACCCAGATGACACACAGAACTCAGTTGACGGCGAGCTGGGGCGTCGGAGTGACGGATCGCGGCCACTGGAAGTAGACGCCGTTTCAAACAGCGCGTCACACATGCTCTGGCAGTGCACCAGATTCGCTCATTTATCGCACATCACCTCTGCCAGATGGGAGGCGGCCATCCGCAGCTCGTCTTTGGCAGATCAGCTCTGGGCTGTCCACCAAGCCCGCGAGGCGGCTGAGGGGCTTGGCATCTCAGTCCCCACGTGGGAGCTGCCCGCAACACAGTGATCTGTGTTTTGGAGGACCAAATAAAAGTTTATCCAATCCAATCCAATCAAAACAGCGCGTCAGAAGTGACGTATGCCACGCGAGATGAGGAGGGGCACTCAGCTGATTCAGCGAGGAGGGGCCAGTTGGTTTTGGAAGAGAGTAGCGTAGGAAAGAGGGAAAGAAGCAATCGTCGCTTTTCGATCATCAAATGCGTGTAGCTCCGCTATTACGGCACCGTTTCGAAAAATTTTCACGCCTACGTGTTCGTTGTAAACTCGAGCCCAACTTCCTCACCACAACTAAAATTCGACCGCTGGGTGGTTTAGGGGCCCTTGAACATCTAAAGGTGGCGTCGCGCCCACTCCTGATTGGAGAGAGGACGCGACGCCATGTTAGAAAGCCCCGCCCCGCTCTTACGCGTTGCAACAGGTACGTGACTACGTGTGGTCAGGCGTGCTGCTACCGCTCGAGTCTCGACCAGCTTGGTTTATCCACATTCAACCACGACATTTGGTTTTGTCCAGGCGCTCCGATACAAAAACAGCTAGCCGCTTGCTTTTCTTTCGCTTTTTTTTTCAACACACAAAGCATTCCGCGGTGGTGTTCCGCGCATCAGTGCCTTCTGGCGGAAAGCAGCGGCGGCATGGTGTCCATGTTTCTCTTGAGCAGGAGTCATGCGACAGGAGTTGAGGTTGCGCACAGGCTCGCAGCTCTTGCCGACAGATGGAGAGACGTGCGCGGGAGAGGGTAACGAAACAACGCCTTGCATGTTTGTTGCTATAAAAGTAGCAAAGTGACGTTGGTTGAGCTCTGAGTTTAAACGCACGCACAAGATCGTTTTCCGGATTTGCAGCGGGAGCTGTAGAGATGTAGCTCTAAAAAGCGACGTTTCTATTGTTCCTTCACTCATGCCGCTGCGCAACGCTCGGCGATTCGGCGGAATTATCCGCCAGTGTGAACAGGCCCCGATATTCGCTTTTCCGTCTTTGTGCACTCGCAGGAAGCTCGACGAGCGGCGAAACCGAGAAGTAGAGGACCACAGCTCGGCATCTAGCGTAGCGCCCTCTCTGTGGTCGGACACGTACCAGGGCGACAAGCCACCTGCCTACGAAGTCGCCGTCAACAGTTCCTGTTTCCGCTCCAAGCTGGAAGACCCGGCGCCCAGTTCGTGGCATGCGGTGCCTTTATCTGACAATCAGGCACGTATTTTACAATCAGCATAGGCGCGAGGTCTACTTTCAAGACCGGGTTAAGTTTCGAACCGGGTTAAAAGCAACTGACACCTTTATGAACATGTGTATGTGCGTGCGTGTACATGCGCCACTGTATGTGCGTCTGTGTGTTGGTTTGATAGATTGATTGATATGTAGGGTTTAACGTCCCAAAACCACCATATGATTATGAGAGACGCCGTAGTGAAGGGCTCCGGAAATTTTGACCACCTGGGGTTCTTTAACGTGCACCCAAATCTGAGCACACGGGCCTACAACATTTTCGCCTCCATCGGAAATGCAGCCGCCGCCGCCGGGATTCGAACCCGCGACCTGCGGGTCAGCAGCCGAGTACCTTAGCCACAGACCACCGCGGCGGGGCATGTGTTGGTTTTGCTTGTCTTGCGTATGTATACACAAATTTAAAAACCTGCTGGCGAAACTGATCTGCCCCCCCCCCCACGCGGCACCCATTGCACACGTTAAAAGGACCAAGTAAGTCAATAATTGTGCAGTAAAAGAAAATAAACATTAAATCAGAAATGAAAATGAAGTGTAGCCTATTTATAAGTGAAGATCTGGCCTCTATAATAAAAAGGGGAAAAAAAGAAAGCGGTGTGAGCCATGACAAAAGGTGAACAAGAAAGCAGATTTTAAGAGATAATTATGTAGAAATGACAATTTGTTTTGTTATCTCGCCAGATGGGTCTTGGTATGGGTCAATTTTCAATAGGCGACCAAGCAAAAACGAATTACCATTTTTCAAGTACAGCCAACGTGCTAACATCACTTAAACAATATGGCGCTAAACCCTTTGTATCAACTGCCGGTTTCATAGCCGTGGGTTAGAGCGAGAACACAAGAATCAGGCAAGCAAGAAAGCTAGCGCTACTCACCAATCAGAAAGGCACTCCGGACAAATACTGAAAATGAAGCCAATCTAAAAAAGTAGCTTAAAATAATACTACCAAAAAAAAACAAAAATGTGTGCTGAGCAAGCGGTCAAACCATCTTTTGTTTTTGAAAGATATAACTACGAATCATAAACTAAAGATTTGAAAAGGTAGTGGTTCACTAGCATGGTAATCGTTTAGTTGCTTAATGTAATCAAACACAGCGGAGCATACATCCCTGTGGCAGTAACCAAATGAAGTTCCGCCAAGTGATAAAATTACTGGTAAATTTACTTGTATTCCGAGCTTCTTTTGTAATGGGGTTACTAAAAATCTTTTTCTCTGATAAGAATAACGATGACAGAATAAAAAGAAATGTTCAATTGTTTCAATTTCGTTGCACCAAATGCATAGCGGTGACGCCTTGAGCTGAGCTTTATTAAGATAATAATTTAGTTGTGGAACTGCACAGCGCAATCTGGTATAAGTGACCTCTAACTGGCGAGATACACACCACTGTTTATTCCAGCAATAGCTCAAATGCTCGAAATCTTTAAATTTATCCAAATTACCTTTTCCCCATTGCAGGCAAGCATTCGGAACCTTAGCGCGGTTACGTAAGCCGTATCTGGCAAAACTGGGATGGTGGGCCCACCCAGGGATACTGCAGCTAAAGAGTCCGCCATTTCGTTCAAGTATAATCCGCGGTGACCTGGTACCCATAGCAAATGCAGTTTTTTTACGTTTTTCGGTACTAAAAGCCGAAACGTATTCATCAGCTCTGAATTTACTGCCGTAGAAAGTGCATTACAAACTGATAACGAATCTGTAATGATAACTGCTAATGATTCGCTTGAGGGTAATTTGCGTAGGGCAAGAACAATGGCCAATAATTCTGCCATGAATACCGGGGTATAATCTGGGAGTCGAATCGAAAAAGACCAGTCCAAAGAAGGAGAGAAGATGCCAACCCCAGCTTTTTCTTTTGACACAGATGCATCAGTCGCTATGATATTGCTTATCTCTAGGTGGAAAGCTAGCGCTACTCACCAATCAGAAAGGCACTCCGGACAAATACTCTGTTTTGTATGCACTGTTTTTTTTCTTTCTCTTTCTTGCACTCAAAATTTTCATGGCAATTCGTAAGTGTTGTAAAAGGAATGTACTATTTAGTGCAATATACTCAGTGAAGCATCCTCTTTTAAAATGTAATACCAACCAGCCCAAGTAGCCACTCTTTTGGTAGTGCAATTTTTAAATTTATTTTATTAATGTTAGTTTGTAGCCTGAATACCATGACTCACACCCACTCTGGGAGATTGGCCAAGAAAACATAGTAACTTATGGATTTTGTTGTTGTTGTTGTTGCCCCTTCGCACTGGCACATACCCACTATGGGGGATTGGCCATGAAATCTAGAAGTATCCTATATGAGATATATTAAAAGGTTTATCCTTAATGAAAGAACTAATGATGTAATAGAAAATAATAATTAACTAAAAAGGAATATTAAACTAAACAAATAATTGAAGATTGAATCAAGAAGAGAAAAGGTGAGGTAATACTACAGTGGAAGACAGAAATTTTGAGTAGACCAGACAATCGAGCTTATCTTATTCGAGCTTTTCTTATTCGTGTTTCTTCTTTTTTCTTCTTCTTCTTTTCGCCTTATCTTCGGCTCCATATGACACCCTGCTAACACCAGCGCCTGCAGCGAGCAGCACGTTTAGCGGTCCGTTATGCACGCTTCACACGAGGCACAGGCGCATCTGCTTCCCGTAAACGCGCATATGCACGTGAACATGGGCATGCGCGTGGCACGGGTTCGCCAATCGTATCGTGCTGCGAGCTTCGTGAACGCTTTGAGCTAGGCTTATTACAAACAAATAATTTTCATTAGGACCTGCTGGCTGTATAAGTGTAGCGACTGCTAGACGAGTAATGGCTGAATAAACTGAATCTGCGGATATTCTTCATGCAGGTTGCAGTCACCTTGCCGCCTTCCTACGAAGAAGTTACGCAACATCAGCAACGCTTTCACGCGCGGAATGCAGCCTGCCGAGCGTCTATTTAAGCCTACCGAAAGACTTTACGGTGGCGTCCTGCCACGGAGGCAAATTAATCTCAGGTGGCGAGACTCGTTGGAACGCAACGATAGACGTGCGATCAACTGCTCGAGCCAGAAAATCAAGAGACTGTAGACCAAGCTGGGTCAAGTGCAACTTTTTTTTTTATTTGCTGCACTGAAGCGCGCGCAGACTCAGCGGCGGCGGACAAAAAGAAGGGCGGCCAAGGAGAGGGCCGCCGCGAGGACAGCAGGTGAAGCCAGGCCTCCAGCCGAGCTACGGACGGGCACGCCCAGAGCGGGTGCCATGGTGGACTCTTTCTTGTCTGTAACTTCGTTGAACATGGCCGCGGCCACGGTGACGCGGGTGTCGTTGTGAACGGTCTTGATGCCGTCTTCGGCAGCCAGGAAATTCGGGCTCTGAACTCCAGCCTGCTTCAGATGCTCCTCGGGTAGGCACATGCCGCCGCGCTCGACGGTGTTGTTGGCACAGGCGCAGACGTCTTTCAGGCAAGCGGCTCCCGCTGCGTGGCATTCGGTGTTGGACTTGCAGGGTTGTCCGATGACTTTTCCAGTGGTGGTCAGCTTGTCGCAGGTCTTGCCGTCCAGGGACCGGGTGAAACCAAGGGCGCAGTCGCAGACAAGGCGGTCATTGCAAACGGCGTTCGGCTGGGCGAAGACGCATTGTTCGGAGTAGTCGCAGGGCCATCCAAGGCCGGCCGCAGCGCGGCAGGTCAGGTGCTTGGACTTGAGGCTGACGGGCTGGGAAGGCTTGCAGAGGCAGCGTCCCTCGCTGCACGATGCTCCGCGTGGCTCGCACTGAGCGTTGCTAGTGCATGTGTCCTCGATGATGGAACCAAGGGCAATGGTTGCCTTGGTGACCTGCGCGTCAACTAGAGCCGTGCACTCGAAAATGAACTTGCCGTTGTCGGATGGAAGCCTTTCCAGCTGGGTGATGGTGATTTTTGAGATCTTCACGGGAACGTCATTCTTCACGGTGGACATGGTAGAGCGGTCGATGAAGTTCTCGAGGGGACGGCCGTTGACGGTCCAGGAGATGCTGGCGTACTCCTTGTAGCCTACCGTGCAGAGAAGTTCCATGGGGCCAGAGTCAGCCTCGGGCTCTTCGGCCGCGATGAAAGCCCGCGCGTACTCGACCTTCAGACCGGCCAGGGCTTCGAGTCGGCTAGCGGGAGCAGCCTGATCGGATCTTTGCTGGACATAGCCTTCCTGAGCAACTCCGGCAGGGCCCATCTCGTCCTCGAGAAGTTTGCGGACCTTGCGTGCTCCAACCTTGAATCCCTTGTGGCGGCGCATGCGGAACTTACGGCGCTGCAGCTTACCGACGTCCTGCTCCAGCAGCTGCTTTGAACCCTCATCCGAGTCGGGCTGCTGTTCCAGGCCGAAGACCGGGTTCACGGGGCTGCGTTCAAAAAAAGATTTGTGAGCAGGGGCAGCTGCGGCTGCGCTGCCGTTTGCAGCGGGAGCTGCAGCGGCCACCGGGGCGTTGGGAGAGGCCACAGGACTCTGTTGGGCGGGGGCCTTGCCAACATCGAACGCGGCTCCGGATCCGTTGTTAGGACTCGCGAGGCTTAACTGCTGAATGGGCGCCCGGTGAAAAGGACCCTCGAGCAGGGCCCGCTGCCGATCAGCGTCGTAAGGCGCTGGCCGTAGGCTACCGGTGTCCCCGAGCCGAAAGTGGTCCTCATGAAGATCGGCCCGAACAGCCAAGGAGAGGGTCAAGCCAATCAGCACTAGGCCTAACAGTGCCATGGTCCAGGACCGACGAGTTGACGTGTCACCGCTAGGCTAGACTGGCAAGATCTGACGGGACCGGTGCCGAATCTCGCCCTGCTCGTGCCACGCGCTGGCTCGCTCTGCGCTGGCACGCTGCACGGGCGTCTCGTGCTCGCCTCCGGGTCCCGCCAATCAGAACGCTCGACGCTCGTTCGGCAGAGAAACTCGTGCAACGGCTGAAAAAGAAGACGATTCGATGAGCTTTTTACCGCGCGACTTTTGAGTTTATGTATGACGACGACAAAGTTTCCGAACATTTTGCGCGTCCTTATAAACTCGATCTGCGCTCTGCGCGCGCACCCTCACTCACATAGTAATGAAGAAGACGTCGATACAAACTTTCTTGGCCAGCCCCCCCCCCCCCCCCAGAAGGTGTGTGCCCGTAAGGTCAGGAGCCATAAATCATGAAACAAATTAACAAATAAACAGGAAATGTTTTTGCCACGGTTAATAGATGAATAATAACAGGTACTTTTAAATCTGAGGCTCAGCATTGGCCTTTACTATTATCATTCCGGACTTCTCTACTGAGGCACTCGGACGGAAATATACGCATATACGCAGTTCAAAAATTCATATGCGAGTCAAATCAATTTATTCAATACATCAACCGCTAATAATATTTAGATTATGCCTTCATATGGCATGGTGATTTTTAGACCTTTGAAACGTTACGCAACATGATAAGACTAAAGTTGGTAGTTATTAAAAATAAATCTTCATAAGTCCCATCAACCTCCAGCCCTTCGAAAAATGTATCCGCCGGACGCTTTGCCAACCCGCCTGGAGGTTAAGAAGCCAGTCATTCCAGGAGCATCATCGTCATCAGTGAAATATGGTTCACCATGGAAAGTATAAAATTGTTGAACCCTTAAGAGTCTCCTTCAAGAGTTGAACGTGATAGCAATATTCTGTTTCTAGTGCGTACTTCAAACACTTAGTGCATGAAATCTTTTCGGCTTTCAACTATGCAGTCACTATGATAATCCCGTGTTCTGACGCCCTATGGCAATGTACGCTGGTACCACGCATTATTACGGTAATATTACATGTTGTATTGTGAAGTATGCATATATATACAACACGCGTGTGTTTGTAAAGAATGGTAGTTACTTTCGCTGCATTTCCAAGCGGATGAAGTTATTTTCACTGTATTCTAAAGCAGAGGCGTAGCTGTGTGGTATCCGCGTGCCATGCAAACGACTCGGGTTTACTGCCCCGAATTTATTATCATTTTACTTGCAACTTTCTCGATTTTTAGGTCACGCAAAAATGATTTTTTGCTCGCAACCAATGACGCCGAAACTTATACAAAAACGCCGGAATTTCTGCGAAACGAGGTCTTTAACGCTATCGTGTTAAAACGGCGCAAACACAGGGACAAAGGCAAATAACCGGACGGAACCAGCGCTCTATGTGCTCGTTGCTAATTAAGAAAGAGAGAATGGAGGATTGCAGAGGAGGTTAACTTTAGCTTTGATCAGCTTCCTACATTGCTCAGAAAGGGGGATATCGGGACGAGGAATGAATGGGTAGAGAAGTTGTTTTTGCTCGTTGAAGTCACCCTGAAACACTTTATCAGCATGGTAAAAAAACAGTGCTGATTCGTAGTTGAGACTTCTAAGAACACACAAGACAGCGCAGCAAGTGGCCTCGAATTTACAGCTACTTTCAAGGTCAAAAGTAAGGTTGAAATAGCTTCGTCTTCTTTCTACTAATGGTGCGACATGCCCAAATGACCGCGCCATGTAGCCAAATTGACGGTCATTGACTCATTTGAGCATCGTGAGCTTCATAATTACTGTGGCCGCCGTGAGAGGCCGTCACGTGCCCTTGCGCGCGCTCCCGATCACACCGCAAACCTCGCGTTCGAAAAAAAAAGTGCTCAAGGTCATGCCACGTACCTGACGTGAATTCGTTGCCTCTGGCCATCCCTTTCTGCTTAGCTTCCAGGGCACTCGTCGGGGCGAGAGAAAAGAGCAGTTACAGCTTAAGTCCCTAGATGTTTAAATATACAGGGACTTAAGTTACAACGTATACGACTGATTACCATAACTCCACTCGAGCTTTGCGGAAAAATAAGTCTGGTGGTTGATTTGTGAAGCAATAAACTCGCATGATGAAACCGTTGGACGGTTACTGAAGGAATGTCTGCGGTGTTCCAATAAAAAAAAAAGGTGCATACCCCAAGATACATGTTTATCAATTAGCATGCCATGTGAGGTGGATGAAGAAGAAGGTAAGCGTAAAGTTCTTTCATGCTTTGACATTAGGCATTACATTGACATTAGGCATTGACATTAGGCACCGTCCCATTCATGGCCTATCCCCCTAGGTGGGTAGCGCCAAGGTGTTGAGGAACCAACCAACTAACCAACCAAGCTTTGACATTGACTTAAGGAGTTGTACTAACTGAAGTGGCTGACTCACTCGCTTCGACGTCTCTAAATGGCCCAGTATTACTAGCAGCTCCACAGTTTTCTCTTATTACTGCATAACGAATCAAACGCCTGTTAGTATTAAAAAACAACGAAACGACGCTCTTACAATTTGAGGAGTACCGTCACTTATACAGTTCACATGGAACACCACAAAATGTCTTTCCCGACAACCTGAGGTGACCCTCACAAGCTTTCGCTGTAGAGTTTTCCGGTTAAATTATTATCTTCAGAAATCTGGATTCTCATTATGTGCAGCTTGCAATGAACCGAAAACAATAGGTCCCTTCCTTCTCACGCCGCCGTTTTGCCTCACGCCGCCAAATGATTCTCGAAAGGCGGTTGGTATGTTGGGATTAGCATTTAATACATCTACCCTTTTACCGCTTGGAGCCAGTCAGTTGGGTACGGGCCGCAGTGCCATATATTCATTCAGGCGACCCGAAGGATACGTTGCTGACCGCCAGATTAATACAATTTGTTTGTTTGTCCTTCAAAACCTGTGGTACGTACCCCATTTTCGGCCCCCTTGTTCTTGTTTCTATATTTCAACTCGTACTTTTCGAATCGTCTTGCCCTTTTCACTTTCTTACAGCAAAAGCTGTTATGAGATCACAACTCGGGTCTCGCGCATACAGGGCTGAATAGTTGTCCACCACCACCACCGCCGCCGGTGTCCGTAACCACATCGCGCGAGATTAGCATAAAAAAAACTTAGTACCAACTTAGAAGTGTGGCAGCTTGGGCTAGTTGGTATGGCATGACGATAGTTATAGCGCGAGAACAAAATGACGGCACAGAGACAAGAGGGACACAGAGACAAGAGAGACAAGAGGGACACAGGACCAGAGGGGTCTTTCGTGTCCCTCTTGTCTCTGTGTCGTCGTTTTGTTCTCGCGCTATAACTATCGTCATGCTAGTACTAATGACACAGTTGGGCTCAAACCCAGATCCGCTGGGTGCCAGCCCAGTATTCTACCACTGAGCTACGCTGTTTTTTTCTTTATTATTGTGCTAG